AGCGAATAGAAGCAATCGTAAACAACTACCCAGGGGGACACAAATCTGCAGCTGTCATGGCAGTACTAGATTTGGCCCAAAGACAGCATGGATGGTTGCCCATATCGGCTATGAACAAGGTATTTAATACTTAATTATCTTTCAAGCATAATTTTACTGTTTTCTTTAAATATCTTACTAGAACATTAGCATTTATTTATCGAAGAGCACATGTGGCACAGAATTATGGTAATTCCCCATGAGACTACATTTTAAAAAATAAAAGGGAAAACTAACCCAGGGAACTCTGGGTGCTGGTGTTTACATAATGTTAGCTCATTGCTAGAAACTAACAGACAGAACAAAGCAAAAATTGCATGAGCCTTATTTAGATAGGCTATTTTCCCAGAATCATCCTGGAAGTAGGAACAGAAACTTGAAAAAAATAGTTTGCTGCTGAATTCGTGGAAAGAAAAAAAGATAAGTGGTGGGGTTTTTCTCCTCTCAGTTTAGTGGCACTACACACATGGCCAGGACTGTGCTTAACCTCTAGGCCTGTGAAGACTTTCGCAAAGCAGCGTTAGTGTCATATGTGTCATGAGTGTTTTATAACACCTCACAGCACCTGCCCGGAAGACTTATCAAATTATTTATTAAAACTGTTTCAAAATAAGCAAGTAAGCAACTATACTGCTCCAAAGTGATAGGTGGCATGATAGTAATCAAACACCGAGGAATAAAAAATTCTGGTTTATATTAATAGGAATAGATCTGTGGTATTTTGTGTTACAATCTGGCATATCATCACTTTTAAAGTGAAAAGTTTTAAATTCAGTCAAGATATGCTAAGTGAAGATTGTGAACATTAAAGAAATAATTGAAGGGAGTTAAGTGCACGTTTAGAGAAGGGCAACTTAGGTATGCTACTGTTTCTACAGTGTAGCATAAAGCCTCAGATCACCATTAATACTGAATGGGAAAAGTATTTTTGTTTATTTACTCTAAGTTTCAGCTTGGTAGTATGTTTAAAATGATCTTAAGATTTTTAAGTGAAGAAATATTTTCTGTGGTTTGTTATTTGCCTGCTATAGAGACTGGAACATAAAACAGTTACGCTTTTGAAAACAGAGCCAGTTCTCAACCTGAGCAGTTTGCCAGGGTTCCAGGTTAATGAGGTCAGGGATACTTACACCGGAACTGGCTCCATGGAGATGGTGCTTCACTCCCTATTTATTAGCTGTGACGCCAATCTGCAGATGCAGCAGTGGTGTTTCTAAGGCCAGCCCTGGTGCGTCACAGAACCCGAGACAGGCCTGCCGTATTTGAATTAGGTGAGCGTAGTACCAGCCTGTAAGTGTTCCCTTACCAAAAGGCTTACGTGGGTTAGCGTGGGCAGATGCATACAAGTTAGTTCATTCATACAGCAAAAGAGCAGAAGTGCAGCATAAGCTGGAGCTGACGATGAAAGCTGGAAGCCAGCTGAATCCTCGCATCTAGCCTGTGTTTGATGCTCGATGCCGGAGGGAGCCGACTTGAGCTCCTCGTTGTGCTAATCCATGGTTTAGTGGAGTTTGTGCTGCAGCAGGGTGACTTCCTCAGAGTGAATGAGGTGTCTTTTCTTGGCACTTGAATGCAGCTGGGCTTTGCTACCCATCCCCTCCCTCCTATTTATCCACTACTGCAGACAGAGGACAGGTGACTGTTGAAATGGTTTGCTAAATGCCTTTACTGATGCCCCATGAGAATTAAATACAGTATCTGTTTTCCCCTTGTTGCAGGTTGCTGAAATTTTAGAAATGCCTCCCATGAGAGTGTATGAAGTAGCAACCTTCTATACAATGTATAATCGCAAACCTGTTGGGAAATACCATATTCAGGTCTGCACTACCACGCCTTGCATGCTGCGAGACTCTGATAGTATTTTAGAAGCCATTAAGAAGAAACTTGGTATGACACAAATTTGTATAGAACTTTTTGTAATTTTTTTTTACCTTTGTTTAATGATACTGAAGTAAAATTTTTCATGTGGTGGGGATAGAGCAATAGTATTGAAAATATAGAGTGAAATCATTGGAGAATGGGCACTAAATACTTCAAATTTCAGATTTGGCACTTACTCTTCAAAGATTTCAATACAGTCGAGCAGAAAAGGCCATTGTCTGGAGTGCCGTTTAGTGGTCTTAAAGTGGTTTTAAAGGCAATTTGCCAGGAAATGCATTATTCTAATATGATCCTTGGTCTGAGAAAGTAAGCCCTATCCCATATATAGGAGATGACTCTGAACGCTATGGTACTTTTTTTATATGCAAAATAAGATTTTTAAGGTATATACTGTACCAAAGTTGTTTGTGAGGGTTTTTTACTTAAGATGATAGAATCATAGAGTGGTTTGGGTTGGAAGGGACCTTAAAGATGATATAGTTCCCACCCCCCTGGCCATGGGCAGGGATGCCTTCCACTAGACCAGGTTGCTCAAAGCCCTATCCAGCCTGGCCTTGAATACTGCCAGGGAGGGGGCATCCACAGCTTCTGTGGGCAACCTGTTCCAGTGTTTCACCTCCCTCACAGTGAAGAATTTCTTCCTAATACCTAATCTAAATCTATCCTCTCTGAATTTAAAACAGTTACCCCTCATCCTATCACTATGCTCCCTGATAGAGTCCCTCCCCATCTTTCCTGTAGGCCCCCTTTAAGCTATAAGGTCTCCCTGGAGCCTTGTCTAGGCTAAACAACCCTAAATCTCTCAGCCTGTCCTCGTTGGAGAGGTGCCCCATCACCCTGATCCTCTTTGTGGCCCTCCTCTAGACCCACTTGAGCAGGTCCATGTCTTTTCTGTGCTGGGTGCCCCAGAGCTAGAAGCAGTACTCCAGGTGAGGTCTCACCAGCGCGGAGTAGAATGGCAGAATCACCTCCCTCGACCTGCGGGCCATGCTGCTTTTGATGCAGCCCAGGATTGCTGGCTCATGTCCAGCTTTTTATCCACCAGTACCCCCAAGTCCTTCTCCACAGGGCTTCTCTCAGTCCACTCCTCACCCAGCCTGTATCCGTGTTTGGGATTGCCCCAACCCGGGTGCAGGACCTTGCACTTGGCCTTGTTGAATTTAATGAGGTTTGCATGGGCACATCTTTCAGCCTGTCAAGGACCCTCTGGATGGCAAACATGGTGTTAACATAACTTATGAATTCTCCGTGGAAAAAGTCAATTGAGAGTGCTGCATTATATGAGATGTAAGGGTTTTGTGGGGGGGTTGGGTTGTTGCATTTTTCTCCTCCTTGTTGGGTGGTTATGGGGAGAAGGGGGGATAAGATCAGCAACTAACAACTCTTCCCTTCTGTGAAGTCACGAGCTGTGCTAACATTTCCTAAGAAAGACCGTGATAAGAGCTGCAGAACAGCTGTTTATTATCTTGCATTTCATATATTCTGTTGTCTGGAAAAGGCGTATTTAGATGAAATTTGTCTTGGTTTGTTACTGCAAATACAGCTTAATTTTAACTGAAACCCTTAGCTTGAGAAATCAAAGCGTTAAGGATGATTGTGTATCTCTTACTGAGACACAGGCCTCACTTAAGACTCTTTATTAGTTTTTTGCCCCCCTTCTAATAGCTATGAAGGAAAATTGCTTTTCAGCATTCTTCCTTCCATGGAGTATTTTGTTGAGATCAGACTCCCGAGATGTTATTCTGGCTAACCCGCCCTCTGGGGAAGGTCTGTATCTTTATCACTAGAACAATAACGTGTCATGGAAGTGATGTATGTGTACAGAGTTGTTCAGGAAATAAGCCTTTGTGTATAAACTTGGAAGTTGTTTATGAATCTGTAGATAACAGTGTTAATGCTTGGATCATGGTTAATTTGGGAATTCAGTACTCAGTACTGTAGATTAACGCATTTCATATTGGCACATGAAAGAGATCTTTTCCCTGTTTTTCCATTCTATTCTATTAATTGCTAAAAATGTCCCTGAACAGAGCTGTTCTGTTTCTTAGGACTGTCATTTCATAGTTATTTTTCAGTAAATCACACCTATAAATGAGGTCTCAAAAATTTATCCAAAGACTGACTTCACAGTTTATTAGAATCTTTTGTTTAATGGAAACATTTTGGACTCATTTAAGAGGATTTAACTATGCAAATGTTTTTAAGGCCAAAGTATAAGTAATGAGAAGACTATGGAGTACTTGGGCTCATGCTTTATTAACCTTGGTCAGTAACCATTGCTGAACCTATTATTCTTTGGTTTAGGTATAAAAGTTGGAGAAACAACACCTGATAAACTCTTCACACTGATAGAAGTGGAATGTTTAGGTGCTTGTGTAAATGCACCGATGGTTCAAATAAATGACAATTACTATGTAAGTATTGCATTCCCTTTTAAAAGATTAAACTTCTTTGCTGGGTTACCTGCATTTTCACTTGTTTCAGATCGTTGAAGTTTTGGTCAGTTACTTCAAATTCCTGTTGCCAAGGGACAACTTATAACTAGAGCATATTTTAGTTTCTTGGTCTCTTCCTAGAACACTTCATCTGTGTCACGGTGTATCCATGTATTTTTCCTTTCAATTACTGCCTTGATTTATACAAGTGGGGTGATGCATTTTTGTGATAGTGGCCTGCCAATAGATCTGGAATTTTTAAGTAGGTATTTGATAAGCTTTTAAAAGCACATTAAAGCAGTCTGTTGGAAAGTATGGACTGGTTTAACACTATTTTTGAACTTTTAGACTTCTGAATTACGGCTCACTTGGATGCCATGACCAAAGGAATTAATGTATTAACTGAATCCAGCTTTTTAAAAAAAAATATTTCTAAAATATTTTCTTACCACAGTCTGGTTAATTTTTTAAGAACTGCTTTCTTGAATTGTACCCACACCTGACACCATTTTGCAGTATGTGCAACGGCATGTGTATAGTGGGTAGGCAGAGATCCAGCTCACTAATAGACCAAGGAAACTGAAAACACAAACCTGTGTTATAGATGACCTGCATCAACATTGTTAGTTTTAGCATAATTTCTGCAACTATACATAACATAAAAATTTCAAGATTAAAATGACAGTAGGCTTTTTAATTTTCCTAATTCTTTGAACCAGTATGTGTGTTAATGGGCAGGATCAAAATTACCTATGACACCTAAGAGAACTACTATCTGAATTTCGAATGCTGCAATTAGCATAATTGCTGACTTTTTTTCTGTTCTGACCCGGATTTAATGATTTTTTTTTTTTTTTTTTTTTTTTACAGGAAGATTTGACACCCAAAGATATTGAAAACATAATTGATGAACTAAAGGCTGGCAAAGTTCCCAAACCTGGCCCAAGGTAAGCTGTATTTGCATAATAATGGCCAACTACTTGAAGGCTGATCCTTTAGAGAAACCAAATTCCTGTTCCAGTGATTTGAGTTCACAACCTACAGCTAAAAAGCATTATTTACTGAACAGAATGGCATGCATTCAGTACCTTTCTGTATATTCAGAGCTGGAAAGAACTGAGAATTTTTCATGTTCTTGATGACTGACCAGAGGAGCATAAAATGTGAAAATGTCAATTCTGATTTGGCTTGGTACCTAATAGGAGTATATCATCACCTGTTGGATTTTTTTATGTCTAGATCACTTAAATCAGCAAAAGCCTGTTGGTTGGTTGGGGTTGATTTTTTTACTTCTGTCAAAAAACAGAAAGATTGCAAGTTTGGGAAAGGGTTATTATTTCTGAACTTATCTGTGATTTTGCATTGTTGTTTGTTAGCCCAACTACACGTATGTTTGTGGGAACGGAGGAATTAATTTGACTTGGTTATGTTACCTATTCCTATTTTCCTATTGTTTCTATATTTTTTTTTTCTACAAAACTAATAGTTTTAAAACAGTTTCCAAACACAGGGAAGCGTCTTTAAAAAAATATGACTGATACAATTGGATACTGCCTTTGGTATTACTGGGATCAACATGACTTTTGTCTGGCCAACCTATAAATAAATAAAAAAGAAAACTACCAGTCCCATCTTGCATTTCAGTTACGAAGCTGTTTGTCACTGCTTGAATTTGGAATCCTTTTGATTTAAGAGCATCATCACACATTTCTGAAGGATGAATAGGAAAAATGAAAGAAAAAAAAAAAGTGGCTTCAGCCTTAAGTCAGATTTGTCTTATCTTCTTCCAGTCTTCTGTCCAGTGATTAAACAGTATCTGAGGTTATAACAATACCAGCAATGAATAAAACCGTTTTAATTTTTCAGGAGTGGACGTTTTTCTTGTGAGCCAGCTGGTGGCCTTACTTCTCTGACTGAACCACCCAAAGGACCAGGTTTTGGAGTTCGAGCTGACCTCTGAGGATTTTTGTAATGTAAGATGATGCCTGAAAATAATAAAGTAACTTTAATCTCAGTCAAATGATGTATGTTATAGTACTCTAAAAAAAAAAAAAAAAAAAAAGAAAGCAACAGCAAATAAGAGTATCTAACTTAGCAAGGTTTTAACTACTGCAAAGCATAATCATAATTCTAGATTATAAGAAAAGTGGTTCTGTAGACTGTGAAATGACTCACTAAAAGAGTCCACTTACAATCACTGAGAGATGAAAGTTGCATCTTTTGATCTGTCATTGAAAAATTTTTCAGCTTTTTCTAAGGTTCTTTGAAGAAGCAACAGAACTGACCAAATTACGAGCCTGACAAATGCACAAGGAAACAAGCCAAAAGGAGATTACCTGACAAAACTTCATTGCATGTTACTTTTAATTGCAATTCAAAAACCAAACAGGAAAGGTGATCCAAGCGTGTAGTGTAAAAAAAAAAAAAAAAAAAAAAAAAAATCTGGTATGTTCAGTAAAAAGTGATTATTTTTGAGTCTAACTCTTCTTACTACCATTCAGTGACCAGGAAAAATGTGAAAATTATCTTTCCATCATGTTACAAAAAAACCCCCAAGTACTCTACTAAAAGAATGAACAGCAACAAGAAACCACTTCCTGTACAAATTTATTCAGTACAGCCAAAGTATGCAGTTGGGAGAAGACAGAATATACCAGAACAGTTTAAAAGATGGCTAAGTGTAATATATGAAACTAATTATTTGATTCACAGATCCTTCTTTGACCTTACTGCTGGGTATCAGCTACCTTTAAGAACAAATCTGTGTGAAATTGAGGTATTTCGCCTGATACACAAAAAGTTGAACATAATTTTTAAAAAGAATTGCCTGCATATTGACACTTAATACATACGCTTTTAAAATCTGGCAAATGCTTTATATATGTGTGCACACACCTACATTTCCACATAAAGTAGGAAATGTGAACATGTCAGTCACCCGAGACCATATTGTGTCTGCCTCTTCTAAAATCTGCCGTGGAACTTACATTCTTACTACAATTAATGTCATCTATGGAGCTTAACTGTATTATTTATATTTTATTCTATGTTATATTTAGTTTGTTTTGCTAACTGTTTTCCCTCTTCTGAGTCAAATTTTGTATCTACAGATTTTCCTGCATCATGATTATCTCACATAGTCTGTTCATCCCCCACCTTTACTTCAGTAGGCTCTGTGAAGTTCCTTGATATAGGGTTATATAAATTGTGTTACTGTTGGTAGTTCTGAGAGCAAAAAATGTATATGATTTGTACGTAAAACTGGCTATCCCTTCTGCACTACTAAATTTATAAAACAAAATCACTTAATTGCATACAAATGGAAAAGTAAATTTGATAAATAAATACAAGTCATGAGTGAAGCAGTTGCCTGATAACCATGAAAAAAAAAATCTTGTAAGTAGTATACAACACTGTGCATAGGAGAAAAATAGTGCATGGATTGAAATATTATCTGCTATTCAAAGTTGCTGAACGCTCTTCTGAAAGGTCACTCCAGTGTTTGTAACAGCCACGCGCCTCGTAGCAGGCCAGGCATCTGGCACTATGTGGCACTTCTCTAGAGACATGAGATGGACAGCGTGTCACGTTCTGATGCAAAGACAAGACTTGTTTTAAGATACCAGTCTGTAACTAAGCTCGACTATTAACAACAAAGCTGTATTCTAGTTCATACAGGATTACCTTATTCTAACCTACTATGAAAGCAGGCAACTATTTTTAAAGTATACATTGAATATAAGTGAGTATTTTGCACACATTATGGAGCTATCATGTGCTACAATTATTCATGGCTTTGAATGTAACTGTGAAACGGATGGGATTGCATAACTGTGTTGAAGGGAAACATAGTTTAGATCTGCCAAGTTTGAAACTTTCAGGTATATGAAAACAAAGCTCTAGAATGCCAGACTCCTCCTGTTGGTAAAGCTGGGCAGGAGAAGTTGTCTTGCCCCACTTTTCTCCCCTATTCATTCCATCTGTATGTGAAGATCCTGCTGTCTGTCTCATGTGCAGAACCCGGATCTCAACAGTTTCCCATTTGTTGGAGATCATGTTAGTGATGTTCCACAGACAAGTACACCAGTCATTTTGATGCAACACCTAACAGTCACCAATCACTTGACTAGAAAAGGATAACTTATGTTATCCCTACTGCATGGTACAAACCTGATGCACCACTGTTTAAAGTTAGATTGAATACTGTGGGGCAGCAATAGGACTGAAATATTTGAAGAGAAATAAGCATATAACCATTACTCTCCACTTTATTCATCAATTGTATGAGGCTTTATGGTCCTGGTTTCTACAACAACAAAGGTTGGCAATCAATCATTACATTAAGATAAATGGTTAAAGCCATTACTCTCCACTTTATTCATCAATTGTATGATGCTTTATGGTCCTGGTTTCTACAACAACAAAGCTTGGCAATCATTATATTAAGATAAACGGTTAAAGAAAAAAAAAAAAATCACATCTTGTGTTATTTTAGGTTTTGTTGAAATTTGAACATTTCAAACATCTCAACTAGAGACAGGGATTCTGCAATATTTGTTACATGTAGTTGTTTATATACAGAATTATTTTCACAATGATAACTTATGCAGGATTGTGATGAGGATTAACAAGGTGATCATTATGGAAGAGTTCTAGAATAGTGTAAGAATTAATATATACAAGTTTTTTTTTCTATTCTTGAATAGCTGCAAGTAATACCCCGTGTTTGCTTTTATGAGTAGTATTGAATATTTTAGGTAACAAATACTAATAGGACAATTTCCATTATTCCCAATCCTCAGTAGCAGAGGGTTACTAATAGCAGTTCTGGGCAGCTGACACTAACTTGTCAAATAATAAAACACTTAACTCTGTAGTTTTGAGCTACCAGTTAATATCTTGGACTGTGCAAGTTACATGTTAGTTAAATGAAAAATGAGTTAACTACAGCAACAGCCAGTACTGTCCTTACACTGGTAACACAGCAGTAACAGAACCGATTCTGTGGTTTTGGTGTTCTTGTTTGTCCTTCTTGAATGAGGGGAAAAATTAAAAGAGTTCACATGCTATATTAATTCGCCAAGTGTAAAAGTGGGAAAAAAATAAAAGAAAGCCCTTTAATTGGGGAGGAGGAAAAGACTACCTAGAGAAGGTTTTAAGAAAAATAGGTATGGTCTTGGGAAAGGAAATGAGATGTGGAACATGGAAGCAGAAGCCATGCAAAGAACCCACTGGACGGAGAGAGTGGGTGGTGGTGGTTCTTTCCTTTGGTAAAGATGGAAGAAAACTTGGAATAATAGGAAACTCCACTAAATACCCAATGAGACATTCGATGTTGGAAAGGATTTCCACGACCTCTTCACACTGCTAGAAAAATGTTACCTGGAACCGTGTTCTGCCATGACATAGGAAGAAGCAATGAAGCTCAGTTCTGTCTATGCAGTGCATTAGCTGAGCTCACTGGCTGACTGGCCAGCTACCTCCGCGAGGCTAGCATATGTGCTTTCACCGCCATCATGTTTTGCAAGTTCTTAGGATAAAGTTCTTACTTTTTAGATTTTTGTACTGCAGTCTGAGATTTCCAGTCATTCAATTACTAGGTTGAATTCAGCAATGCCACAGTTCAACCAGATGCTGTGCACGTTGGTCTTGATTAAGCCCAGTAGTGCACACAGCTGGTAACACAAGGTGTTGGCAGATCCAGGGAAGTACTGTGCAGGCCAAGACAGCGCAGCTACAAAGGCATTTTGCAGCTGTGCTGTGTAGAAGGGAGGGGCTTCTGGCAACAAGGGGAAGATACTGATGCAGGGGCAGCATTTAGCAATTAACTGACTGCTCCTTTTTGTTAGTCCAAACAGTAGTTCTTATCAAAGGCTTAAGGAACCATGCTGTTGTAGTTACTGATAGATATTGCTATCAAATCTTAACATGTGCTGCAGAAGGTGTTGCTCATGAGACTCCCTCCCTATTATCTCGGCTGTTGGTTGTGAACGCCTTGCCAATGCACACTGAACTCCTGGAACTGCATGCTAGTGGTGCTGATGCACAAGGATCAGAATGCTGTATTACACCACTGCGCTACACCTGTAGCCTGGCGCTTCTGGGAAGGTGAATCATCGGTATTGTCCCTTTACAGTACTGAGAGAAGAAAAAATACTCTGCCTTGGGAAATAGTTCTTATTCCACTTATGCTGGCAGCCAGTAGCCTGTCTACTCTGCAGTCAACTTGCCACCTCCAGTGATGGCCTCTGTAATCAACCTGACAGGAGAGAATGTGAAGTGAACGCAGCTCCCTTTGTTACGTGGTCACGGGTGCCACCGTACCTGCTCCTGGTCAGCTGACAGCATTCACAGTACGCAAACAGAATCAAATGAAGGCAGTGGCTTTGCAACACAAATGAGCTGTACCAGCATTTGTACAGCAAGATTTTTGAAAGCAAGTGAGAGAAGTTTGCCTGAGCAGTAAGATGTTGCACGCGATGGGAATATTTGAGATTTGTGATGCCATTCTCTACCCCACACTGGACCATGATGGGTGGAGATCAGAATAGAGGGGAAGTCCATATAATTAGATGGCCTTAATCAAAGCAATATTTGAATACTGAATCTTTATATTTCTGACTTGCATAGTAAGTATTAAGGAATTCTTGCTCTCTACACAGTAACAGTGGAATTAATCCAGTAGCAGGCTGAGCATGGCAGTTAAGACTACATCAAACGGACAGGCTTTGTTTAGCTGCCTTCCCAAAATACTACACCTGACAGCCCACCTATATTTAGCATGTTCCAGAAGTGATCGGGAGAGCACTATTCGAGAACCCACAAGTACAGAACCATAGAGATTCTTTTAAGTCTTACCACATAATGCTATTTTAATAAGCAGGTGCAAAACCTTTCACAAGCACAGATGAACAACCCCTTTTTAAGGTTGCAACCAGGGCTAACGTCTACTTCTGTAACCCCTTTTGATGCAGTTATATGAAGTCTGGCTCATGGGTGTAAACGACACCCTAA